GAAGTGGGGTCTGATCAGCTCGGTCTAGTTGAAGAAGTCCCTGCTCATTGCAGGGGAGGTTGGACTAGATGACCTTTGAAAGTCTCTTCCAACCCAAACTATTCTATGATTCTGTGATTCTAATATATTAATTATGTCAGGCATCTCACTGGATAAAGCTTAACATCATGGGCTCATCTGAATTTTGATCTGCCATCCATGGCTCCTTTACTGTCCTTATATCAGACTTTGTTATGTATAACTGAGAACGAATAAAGAAGTTCTTTGAGAAAAGAGTGGCATTTATTCTGAAGCAGGGTGCATTTCCTTCCACACTTCTACGCTCGCTAATCAGTGCCAGGAGTCCTCATTCAGACCTTTCATCAATAATAGCCGAGGATGAGGGAACAGAAGAGCTCTGCAGTCAACTGTAAAAGCCAATTTATACTGTGCCAAAACCAGTGTAATTCTTATCCCAGAGGATTTTGGAGTTAAATGCAGAGGAAAAAGCTGTTGATCAGAACATTTTATAGGACGTGGACTGGGAAAGATCACTGAAGAAATGACAACAATCTATTCAGTTTTGCTTGGAGGATATGTATGACCCTGTAAACACTGTATTAACTTTTCAGTTAGGAATAATGGGCTTGGATCTCTTCACATAAGCTCTGCAACAGCAAATCATTCATATCAACGTGCAGAAAAGCTGTAAACTAGCATTCCACTGAATGGGCAGAAGGTCCCTGTCACTAGAAAGTAAATTAATATTTTTGCCATCTGCTGAAACGCAAAAATGTATAATCTAAAATGACTGTCTTAATTTGTACTATCAAAAACAATTTAGAATGTTTAAAGCCACTTCACTTTACCATAAGGAAAAAAATTGGCATTGTAGCCAAAGCAAGATCTGGTTGCAGTTATGACTACTGAATTATGGGTATGCCTACATGAGTTCTGTTTTAGTGTCCATGATTCCAACATTTTTTGAGTGACACAAGTGTCCTACAGAATATTTTAGAGGTCTCCTGAAGGTCTCACTAAAAATGAAAGCAAATAAAAAAGACATCACAATGGAAAGGTCATGCAGGAATACCTGGTGTGGGAGTCATACCTTTTAATTTTGGTCATGTAAATTTTAGTCCATCCTAAGATAATTCTCTAGGATGTTTCTAGTGGCTGTTTGGAATTGCCTATCTCTCTCCATAGACGAGATTCCTCTTTTTCATGTAATGGGAACACATAATCGGCCAGTGTCTCAGAATGCCCCTACATTTTCTCTCAGTTTTGTGCTCTTTGCTGCTCTATAACAAGGCAAGTTTTATCAATAAATGTTCATTTAGGAGACTTGACATGATGGACTTAATTCCAAAGGTTTGGAAAATTCCAAGCCAATACCAATTTACTCATTTTTTAAAATAATTTTGAAAAAAATCTGTATCATATTTTTTCCGCTCTTCGAAGTTGCCAGATGTTGGTAGCCACAGAAATATGTGTCCTCATTACAAGAGCACGGTTAATTAATGTGTTATTCTTTCATGGTCTTTTTAATGAAAACTGGCAACACCATCCCTGGAAACATTCAAAGTCAGGTTGGACGGGGCTCCGAGCAACCTGATCTAATTTAAGATGTCCCTGTTCATTGCAGTGAGGTTGGACTAGATGACCTTTACAGATCCCTTCCAACCCAAACTATTCTATGATTTATAATCTCAGGTCAAATAGGAATATCATTAAAAAAGAGCATAATACAAATGTATTTACAACATTGTCTAAATTTACTACTATCTGACAGGAGCAATTATAGTGGATTATGCTGTACAGTATAAGAAAAGCCTGTACGGAACTAATATTCAGTGTACTGTACTTTATAGAAAATAAAATGCTAAAGAGCCAAGAATATAGTAGCTGCTTAATTATGTCAGAGAAATATTCTAGTTCCTTGTTTCTGTTCCCTAGAAATTGCCTTTATCACCCGCATGCATACAAATACACAGCTGAGACATTTTCTTCAACCTAGCTGTGCTGTAGACAGCATGCCAAAAAGACATACTCATGTAAAAGTTTCTACAATATGCCATGTCCCTACAGACTAATAGTCATTCACTGGTAGAAGACAATCTCACTACGGATGCTTTAAGAGCTGAGTGAGATCTCTCTCTAAGTTCTCATATAGCCCCTGTTATTATCACCTCAAAAGCTTCTCCTCGAATATGTCCAACACAAATTCTGATCTATCTATGCAACATAGAAGATAAATTCATTACTTCTACAATTTATAAAATGTTGGAAATATGACTTTCTGATTATTCTGCACCTTTTGGTGGTAATACCTTTGTTGCTGCACTGGTAAATGTGTCCCACTGTGCCAAATACTGTCACTTTTTGTATAGACCATATGCAAGGCAGCAGTGTAGTTGAATACAAGTCAACGCCATATAAAAGCACGTTACAGAAATACATATTTTGCTTCCTATCTATAATCATTAATGAAAGATTGACTAAAGCTGTGTTAAACACCCTTGGGATTATTGAATCGGTTCAACAAGACTGCCCACAGAACATGGTTGTTTAAAAAAATTCAGTTTTTTAAACACCTGCATTTAATGGTTGCTACAATTCTGTAATGGAAAAAAGCAGAGTAAGAATCTCGGATGTCCTCTGAAATGGAAATAAAACACAAAAAGAACTTGATAAGCAATGAATAAAAGACCCATTGAGTAAATCAGAAAAATGTCTCTGTATGTATCCAGTGCAGTGCTCATATGCTGCTGCCTTTGTAACATTCCAAGAGACCTGATTTGAGGACAACCTATTATGATCTGAAAAATACACAGTTATTAGACAGTGGTTATCTTTACTTTTTCTGGATCTTAGCCTAATTATGTTGTATAGGGTACCTATAGATGTCCTAATTAATCATAAGATGCCTATTTCATTCTGTTAATCATCTCCAGAAGGTGGAGGTCCATTTGTCCATGCGTCCAGATATGCTATATATATTATTGTATACTCTATATTTTAAGATGGATGCCACATCTAACTGTATATGAAAACAATGCAAAAATTGCTTTTTACGTTAACAGAATCAGTATTAAGCTTTGCATGGAACAGTACACAGTGAAGCTTACACTTTTAGCCAAAAGAGATAGTATGTGACATCCTTTTTGGACAAATCCCTTCCAAAAGATTTTCCTTTTATTACTGACCAGTTTGATAGAAAACCAATCGCAATTTCCTCCTTATTTTATACTGAAATTAATTAATTTTGCCTTTAACATCCCTATCAGAATGCTAAGCGAAAGACAAATAATCAATTCAGTATCACTTTAAAAAGCATGACCTGAAAATCTTTCCATTCTAAGTAGAAATATAGGAAATGAAAGGATGTAAGATAAAATATTTTTCTCATAAGTTGATGTTACTAGAAATACTTTTCACATAACTGCCTACTTCCCTTGTGTGGCACAATCAGTTTTGCCAGAAGTGTAGTATTTATATGACGTCTTTAATAGAAAAACGGCACTTCGGCTGACAGCTGCTTAATGCATTTTCGGTTAGTGTAAATTTAACAAAAATCTATAGTTTTGTGAAGATAACCCATCAGCAGCAGATGGATGACATCTGAAGCATGAGCCAAATGTAAAGAAATTATAGCAGGAGTAGAAAAGGCTGAATTTTGCCCACTAAGATTACAGGCTACTTATAGTTTATATACTGACACAAATAGCTGTAGCAGCTCAATGTTGCCATAGAAACTTGTAGACCAGTAAAATATTCCTCCAGCTCTCCACCAATGGAGAGATGGGAATACAAAGCTTGGTATGGTAATGAGAGCCACCGGGGGCTGATGAATGTGAACTGATTGAGGGTGGGGATTAAGTAAGACCTTAACAAGCCTGTAGGAGTGAAAAATGGCTGTGACCTCCCTAGTTAATACAGTGGCGTATTTAATTCTCTAAGATCTCCCACGTTTGTTAACAGGCAAATGTTTCACTGAAACACTGTTTTTTTTTCCTGGGGATTACACTGTCAGACATCTTTTGGATGTTTTTCTTAATTATTTGGTACTCTTTTTACATACTAGGGGCTTTGGGGGATGGCAGCACTGTTCAAAATAATATAGGCTGTGGCTTCACACCTCAGAAAACTGTACTTCATTAATCAAATTAAATAAAATTAGCTAATTTAAGCCAATTTTTGTGTCTGCACCATTTAATATTTCCAGGTAAAAACTGCAAAATGAGCTATCATAATCATTGGTGCGTATCTGGAAATCTACCTCTAATTCACTCACTTCATAATTGCATATTCAGGCATTTTATTGTGGTCTAGATCACGGAGTCAAATTTTTTGCACAGATATTAATGATTGTTTTGAAAAATATAACATCTCCATTAACAGACAATCTCACAATTTGCTGGATTTTCAGTGAAAAAAACCCCAACATTTCTGTGTCTTTACCATGAAAACTATTGGTGGAATTCTGTACACTTTCCAAGATACATTACTCCATATGCCATCTAACTCATACCACAAGAACAAGTCCATCTGTTTAAACGTTCTAATTTTGTCATGCTAAAAGGTATATGTTGGGTTTTTACTATTTCAAATACTAACAGTGCAATGCACAAGTTGGGACTTTTTATGTAGCTAGTGGTGTGTAAATACTACCTCTCCCACAATTTATTGAAGCCCAAAGAAAACATACTAGATAATCCACACTTCTGCAATTCATCTGCAGCATCATTTGCAGCAACTATCTATATGCCACTCTTTAAGACTGAGGCTAGATGAACTGAAAGAATGAAAAATGAAACATCTGTGATAACTTAGCAAGTCAATGAGATGGAACTCAAAGTTTGTACTTCTAGACCAATTGTTAGGACTAGATAAATGCTGCATTTATCACACACCGTGTCCAAATGAACTATCAAATATGGAAATCAAATAAATTGAGTACTTAATATCACATTTATCAATCTTTATCAGAACACTGTTTTGATTATATCTGCTTATGTTACCTTGCTGTAGCTGGATCATCCACATCAGTCTTTGATTTCTGTGGGGTCACCTGTTCTGACGAAAAGGCAGCCCTGCAATATGAATGGTGAAAACATACTTAATGTACAAGAAGATATTTGAAAGCACATTATACGATTTAAATGGGTTATCATTGTAAATGTTACATTTCATACAAGTGCTACCTCAGTGAGTTGAAATTTTCTTTGAGAAACTTTTTTGGTTTTTTTCTTTACATGGATATATAATATAGAGAGATAAAATAGATAAAGAATTATTTATATCATATATATAAAAAGGATATAAATATATAAATGTGTAATGCTTTAGTTCACGAGATTACTGCATCCACTGAGCCTTTTAAAAAATTAGTATTCAAGACTAGCTGTTTTGCTAGTATGGATATAGTAATAAAGTGGAGTTTCTTTAGTGTTTCAAAAATATTTTAGTAATAAAAGAATTTTTAAATACTTTTCTACTACCTACTAAATACATTTTACTTATTTAGGGAAGACTAACATTTTACTTATTTACCAAAGTACTTATTTTTAAAAAACTAAATAAGAAAACAAATATACTTTCTTATTTTTACATATTTGTGTAAACAGTCAGATTGGTCACTACACTAATTTTAAAATTATAACAAAGTACCAGAAAGGGAGAAGGTGGGTGATACAGTTGGATATGAGAGTTAACATGCTGCTTTAGAGAATCTTTCTATTAGGATGACAACTAAGCCATGACAAGTTTTGTAGCTGTCTTAATTATAAGCCATGAAATTACAGGTTCGTTAAGTAATCTTCTCCTAATTTAGGCCATGCAAAATGTACCTTTAGTTAATGAATTAATTTAATAAATTTATTTTCTAAAATTAGAGCAACCTTTGCAGACACTCAAATAAGTTTAAAGTAGTTTACATCAATTCGTCTTATGTTAATACCTTCTATTACAAGCCTTTGCAAGTGCACAGCTTTTTAATTTACCACTTTCTTTTTCTTCACTTTGCTCATGGTCTCTTTTTCACTCTCTCTTTAGAGCATCAGTTTAATATAAAGGAATATTTGCATTAGCAACATACATAACTGTGGAACTAAAATTGTGAAGCAGTTTTTAATTTTTTCTGCAGTTACAGTTGGTTTTTCAATTTGAATAAATATCCAATTAAATGTGCTAAGCTATGTGAAAATAACTACATTTGTGAAGGAAGTAAGTATTCTTCATGTGCTTTTGTGACATCAACAGGAACACTTCCAGGCAAATTATACACTCTTTGTATTATAAATAAATGTAAAATAATAAGGTTTGTGCATGGAAGTGTGTTGCATTTCTAAATCTACTAAGAAGCGAAGTAAGCAAGACATACGTCATTGGAGCTTCTGAGTTTTCTGACGTGGTTCTAAAGAAAGAAAAGAGTAAACATTTAAGAAACCAAGTAGAAAAATGCTAGTATTGAAGCACTTTGCAAGATTTTAGATCAATCAACAGCAATAAATTTTACTTTTTGTTCCTTCCAAGATGGTAGGGTTTTTTGTTTCTTAATGCGGAGCATAACATATTTAACTCAAGTAGCATAATACTAAATTCTAAACATATTCTTTATATGTTACTAAGATGATCATTCTTCAATTAACATTCTCCAGTCAATCACTCTGATCAATAGTATTTTGTTTTTAGCACACAATTCACAATCAAAAAACTCAGTTGCAGTGAGCTGCTTATATTCTTAGCTTCAGTTGCAATTTCTTTTCTCTGTAAAGTGTGCTTAATCAGCTTGGAATTGAGACAAAGCACTCTAGAAGTTTACATCATGCTTGAATCAGGTCTCAGGATCAGAAAAGGTAAGTAAATAATAAACCCTGACCAAAAAAAACCCCACAGACTCATGATTGCTGAACTCCCTTTCTGAGGATAACAGAACAGTTGGCCATTCTTGTACTTGAAGAGAAGACGCAGGTCTTTGCTCCACCTGTCATTAAGACTCATAGTGACCTTATAAAACTGTGGTTATTAGCATCTATGCACAGTACTTTATTTCCTGAAACTCGCAGGCGAGTAAAAGGCTTTGCTTTGATGACTATTATTAGTTATAGTAATATTCACAATTTGAAATAGCTTTCACATCTTCAAAGCACTTTTAAAAGATAAACTAATTAATCATTTAATGCTCATCGCTGTTTAACCAACTGCCCTCAGTGACATCATTGTTAGATGATCCAGGAAGCTTCATAAAGAATATGCCTGTATTTTGGTCTTCTCGGACTATGAGAGTAGAGGAGTAAGTAGATAATTAGTCTTGAGAAGGACAGAGGAGTCCCAGGGTTTTGTTGGAAGCTGGGCAGATGCCACGTAGAGGATGCATCCTATCCTATGCTTTCAAAATTACCATGATCACAGTGAGATATTGAAATGAAGCCAGATGAATCCATCACAGTTGACATATTAAAAATATCTAGTAAAAACTTATTTTAAATAAAATAAACTTTAGCATCTAAGAGCTATCTTTCTGCTGGGTGGTAAGTGACTTTGAATCTTGGCCAAACACATGGACAGTAGTAAACCCAGAATAAGATTAAAAATAATTGCTAAACTTGGATTTAAGGATTCATCCTAAAGTCTTCCAGTGACAGAGATTCCATAAAATCCCTAGGCCAGGGTCTGCAAAGGAATTCTACCTAACACAGCAAAGTATCCGTTCATTTCTGTTTCATTTAATTTTCATCATTGGTATGCACGAGACCAATGTTGGAAATTTCCCAGATTAAAACTAGGGAAGCACAAGGCCATGCTGCAGCAAATAAGGGACTTAAGCAAAGTATATCATGAAAGTTCATTCATTAATATTTTAAAACATCCATATTCTGCTTTTAGATGAGAGCACAAGAAATGTTCCTTGTTTTCTTTCTCATCTGCCAGAAAGCAACCAGAACTTTAGAAATGAATGTTAAACATTCATCTGCAAGTAACTTTAGCTTGATCTTCTAAACTCTTTCTTGGATACCTTACTGAGAGCTGACTAAGCAGATCTTGAGGTTTTGTGCACACTGTTAACCAAAACGGCCCAGGGGTTAGCCCCTGGCTGTCAGACCAAATGGCACCAATAAATTCCTGCCCTTATGGCTAGTCGGTCTGTAGCAGATTTGTCTTCAGGAGAGCTAACTGGAATAGTCCAAAGAAAAACCATGAAGAAAGCATACAATCATTGTCAAAAAACTTTGAGAGCACTCATGCAACCTCAAGTCACTGGCACTTCACATACTCGGACCTCAGTCAATGCTGGGCATCAAGCTCCTAAGAGCCCAAGCAAGTATTTAGGCATGGGATACTTTCTCTTACCATGCCATTTTACTCATCAAACTTGGTCCCTCAAAGAACTGACCTATTAGCTCACTCCTCAAAGCAGCTTGAACCAAGAATTAGGAAATAACTAGTGATCATCAGTACTCACCGTTTGGTTTCCACTGTTTCTGTTGTCGTCTTACTACTTGAAACTGGGGGAGGCATCCAAGATTGCCTGTCAGTGTTAACAAATAAATTCTTGAGTATTAGTCTAATGCTATGGGGCTGAACAGTATACTATGAATGCTAGAATGTCAGAAGTGATGTAGAAATACCTGGAATATTTTTTAAATAATTAATATTTTGAAATACTGCATACAAATACTTTTTAGGCCATTTTTTCCCAGACAACTTAATGGAATTGGAAATAATATAGTAATTTTAATTATTGTTGTTAAAAATGTATTCTCTGACTCTAGGTGGTCTTTTCTATAACCTGAATAGTACAAATAAATGGATCATTCATGGGAAGGAGAACCAAATATAATGCACAACGGAAACAGTGTCAGGTATCAACCCAAGAAACACATTCAGGCTGGTATTAGGGTCACATAAACATCACAAACACTTTCAGTTCTTCTATTATTTTTTCTCCCCTAAAAACTATCAATCCAGCAATTGTTTGTGAGGAAAAAGCAATTGCATCATAAACAGTGCAATTCAGTGATGGCCTTTCACATCTCCAAAGAGCTTGAATAGAACTAGTGGGCTGAAAACAGCATAAACTCCCTCTGAACAAGCAGGATGGTTAATAAGAAAATAATGGCATTTTAATTTCTACTTTCATAATTCTACTGATCACAATTTTCATGCATGAAATATGGAAGAGAAAATCACAAATGGATAGGATTTGTGGCTGGGAAGGATGCGTAAAAATATGGCTATCACCAGCAGTACATTTTAAATTAAAAATGTAGTTCTTTTTCTACACCCTGTTTTTATTCTTGCCCAGGTAATACTATCTGAAATCCAAATTTTTAAAGCCAGCTGCATATCATGCAGCAAACCTTAGTGTGGTTCGTATGTACTGCAGTAGCACAGGGTCAAGTCTGGCATTAGAGATTTCACCTGGTCACAATTACAGTGAGCTACAGTGCTTTAAATTTAGACACTGAAAAGGCATACGCCAGCTGGGTTAGGGGCTGCAGCAGAGTTAGCATCTGTTGTGCTCTGTCCACCAGATTCACAAAACTGGCTGTCCAGAGACAACCTTCCAACACAGTACTCCCATGGAAAAAGCCAGAGCATGTAAAAGATGAATTCTTGAAGCTTGCTGAGCAGTTGGAGCATGCTAGAGGAGAGAGTTGATAATGTTTTTTTTATATAATTGTGATACATTACTGAGGTTTAATAGAGTGCTATATATCCTCTGGCAACCAAGCAATGGTGGTAATGAATACCTTTTTTTCTTGATTGGAGAAGTCACAGCAGCATTTGTGGATGATGCATTAGGAGTCCAAGATCGTCTGTTAAGGAAATATATTTAATTAATTCATTAATCTTCAAGAGTGTATCATTTTAAATGAAAAAAACCAATGATAATAAAGCATAGTTCTACTATCAAAATTACACAACTGTGTATGGTAAATGGTATGACTATGTTTATACATTCCAGCTGAAATTTTGGAAATACCTCCAAGGACACAGGTTTGGGACACCTTAAAGGATTCTGATGTTTAGAGAACAGATGTGTCTTTACTTGATATCCAAAATAATTTCTGATTTCTTAAAATCTTGACTTCTCTACCGACGCGTCAGTCTCCAACCAATGAAATATTAATATCTTTATTTTTCATACTTTGAATTTTATATTTCTTATTCAGTTATGTCAATGCTGCTCTATTTTATGATATGCCTGTAAAAGGAGACAGTATTCTTCATACTTCTTACTATATAAATTGCAAGTCAGTGATTTTTCTCATAAAGTTTATCAAAAAGTTATTGTCTTGTCCTCTTCAACTCTTGATGTAATGAGAATAACCGAAGCACAGAGCTTTTCAAATTATTTTATTGCTCTCTGTCAGGAAAAAGTATATACCATTTAAGTCTGACTTAAGTCCAACTTCATTTTTCTATTAAAAAATCATGTCTGGACAAAATAACATAAAATCCAATCTATGTGGTGTTTTATGTGTCAGCATCACTATGATTTACAACATAATGGTGCAAAATCATAATTTAAAAGAATGACCTCACTTGAACTTCAAATGCCAGAGATACTAATTTGCTCTTCAGAATTATATGTCAACACTTCACAAGATGACATTTAACTGCTGCGCTCAGTCTTCACTAGCAACTATATTCAGTGGAATTTATTACTGATAGAACACCACTGACATTGATGAAGACACACAGAAGTATATTTGTCCCTTTACATTTATAAGTATGGTGGTTGAGCTCTTCTGACTTTCATTATTTAAATTAAAATTTCAATTAGGTAGGAGCTGTAAGCTCTTTAGAAAAAAAATTTTCAGTGTTGTGTAGTCATATTACACATACAAAGTGGCCATCTCTGAATCTTAACAACTTTTTTAACAACACGTCAAAGATCTTGTACTCACATTTTAAATTAAAAATTAGTTTCAACCTCTCTTAAACAAAAGACTGACCTTCTGACAAAAGAAAACCTTTCCACTGGGAAAATCAGTTAGGCTGTCTATCAAAAAAGTACTTTCATGTTTTGGTACTCAAGTTTTCCATTGGCACTGTTCAATGGCATTTCCCACCGAAAAACCTTAATTATAATTTTTCCATGTAGTCTTCCCTCAGAAATATGTAGTATATTTGGTAGAATTAATGCAAAGAAATGTAGAGCTTTAGAATATACCCACACTTAATAGTTTTCAAAACACTCTTATTCTTTCTTTCTTTCTTTTTGTATTTAAAAATCTGTGTCTCTTCAAGAATCGCTATGCTGACTAAATGTATAATCTGAGCTGGTCTCTCTTTTAATATATATGGAGAAATAAGTATTTCTAAGGAAAATTCCTCTTATTCTAAAGAAAATATTTGAGAAATATCAGATGAGTTGTCCTCCAAAATACCCTTTTTCTCCTCACTGGCTACAAAGTCTATGATAACCTAGAGGTGGATGTCTGCATTCCAGATGTCAGGTGGTGAAATAAAGCCTACTATTAGGCCATATGCCATACAAATTATTTCTCTATATATTCTTGGTATGTATATGTAATTAGAAGTTATGATAATATATAATAGTTAGACGATGATGCGTGATAAATGATACATGACACATAAGAAATTATAAGTAAAACTTAGATGATAAAGTTTCCAAAGCTCATACCTGTTGTTTTCCTTATTATTCAGAGTTGGAGACTTATTTATTTTATCAGTATCACTTCTGGCTGGAATTCTGCCAAAAACACAGAAATTATTTATAATACACACTCTAGATCTTTTATAAATTTAAGCTATAGATACAAAATAATTTATCCTATTATCTAATATTATCTACAAAACATTTTGTATCCTGCCTTCAGCTAAGTATCACAGAATACCGTTGCATTTAATGAAAATCTTTCAAAGGCCATCTGGGACACAATCCACACCAGCATGTGCTCTGTGCTTTTTTCAAATCTTTAATTTAATTGTGTAAATAACTATCTCGTATCATAGGCAGCTTGTGATTGTGACCGGCAGATACAGTTACTTGAAGGATCACTAGAGGTCTCTCTCACTAAACTTGCTAGCATTACTACAGATGCAAATATGAGCGCTTCTAATTGACTGCTACCCAGTGAACCAGCATTTCTTTCACGCCTCATTTCACATTTCCAAAATTTCAGCACACTACTTTCGTTAGTTCTGTACTTGCTCATTTTAAAGACTTAAAGGGTCCACCTGCCATCCTACTCCACTGCTGTCCAGTATAGAAGAAGCTTTGAAAAAAGATAAAGAAAGGTAAAGATAATGTTAACTCCTCCTCGTACAACTTTTCAGCTTCTGATAAGCAGTGGTTGAAGAAAGTCCTCTGTTTGCACCCAGAATGCTGTCTCCAACAGACACCTTTGGATCAATGATCCGTTTACCCACCTGATGTTTTTCTGAACCAATTTAAAATTTTGACCTCCACAGTATCCTGTGGTGGTGACTCCTACAGTTAATAGATATGTTAAGGGAAAAACAAGTGGTGTTTTTTTTTTTTCTTTCATTTTTCTTTTTTTCTTTTTTTTTTCCCCTTTAAATCATTACTTAAACATTTCATACAGTATCTCCTCATTCTTACAGTGCACCAAACAGGAAATATTCCTTCTTTACTCTCTTTCACTATATCACTCACTTCCAAGTTGAGGTAACTTTGTCTCCTCAGACATTCCACATATGAAAGCTATTTCATCCCTGTGATCATCCTTTCTCACCTTTCTCTTTATTTTTTTCTGGTTTTATTGTAGTTTCTTTGCATAAGTGAAATACTGTATGTAGTGCTCAAGATGTGCAAAACAGGTTCATGCTATGACTGAACAGTGGTTTCTGTTTTGATTTAAGTTCATTTTCTAATAATTTCTACCATTCTAAATGATTAGATTATTAATAAAGTAGACAGGGAAAGTGTCTCGTTTCCTTCATTCCTATCTCTTCGGCTCTAATTGCTATAAATGCAGTTGGGATTTACTCTTCCTGGAAGCTATTCTGGACTTAGTAGCATTTAGTACTTGAAAAAATAGCATTGCCACTATTTGATTTTTAAAGTCTCTCCCATCTTTTGTCAAATATGTAGTTAGTTGCTAATAATAAGACAGAAATAAATGGATAAATAAAATCTTTCCACCCATCCAGAAAGGCTGTCTGTGATTATCTGCACAATGCAATTGTTGTCTGAGTTATGACGAGTAGCTCTACATGCCAGTACAAGTATATGTGCACCTACTGCCATCAAACTATGGATTTCTGTTAACAGCTTAACTATGTTTGGTATTTTCTTGTGCTTACAGCAAATGGTGGAATTGCATGTAGCCATCTGCAACATCTCTCCCAGGTCCCTAATACTGAAACTGATGTTCAAATTTTGTAGATATTGGGTTAGGCAAAATTCATACTAAACACCGCCTTTGAACGCGGATATGGCAGTACCCAGAAAGCAAAAAGCTGTACTTAAAACGGCTTTTAGTTATGTCACATTTTCACAAGAAACAGAGAACTCAAAATTACTGCTATACTCCTCAGACAGTTTATTTTGGATTTTTTTTTTTTTTCATTAGAATTTTAATGATTATTTTGCCTTTTTGAAAACTTGCTATTGAAGACACATTCATCCAGATAGATCCGAATTCTTTAAATGCTTGTCTGCTGGGATATTAGTCATGGCCAGAAAAGATACAAAGCAGAGTTCTGGAAAGATGTTCCAATCTCTGGCTTGAAAGCGGGTAACTCCTAAAGACCTTGTGCAGGATAGAAGACTACCATTTTACAGCATCTTAGCTCGACAAAAACTATTTTCCATATAGGCAACATGACTTATAATAATTCTGGAAACAGCTCTGAGAGGTCTCCAATACCAACGTAAGAACTGTTTACTAGGAGCAGTCCTTCAGACTTTATTCTACATTCCAGAAACATGCTCCATTTCAACTCTGCCTTTCAGTTTTGAACACGAAAAAAAAAAAAATAATGCTTCTTTTTCACACAGGCCACTGAACAATATAGCTATTCTGCAAACTGATCTATTCTAAGCTTGGAGAATTCTGTACTGTGGTTATGCTTGCCAAAAATAATTTATAAGAAAATAAGGGAATTGTACCTGGTGGAGAACATCCTTCACAGAGGAAGCGGAAGTACCAAATTTGACTGCGGGCTAGAAAAACGTGCTAATAGAAGAGAAATCACCACACCCTTTTATGCCTTAGGCTGCAAGTTTGAGGAGACACAGAACACATGCTCATCCCTTACAGAAGTGCCTGCTGGCAATGGGTGTGAACAAATTAATCTGGGAATGGCTATATTTCACAGTTTTGAGAAGACTAGTGATGAGTGAGGAAAAATAAACAACTTGACTGCAGCTTCCTCACAGTGATTATTTCAAGATAGAACCATCATTGTTCAGTCCATTTATGGACATACTCTGCATTAGTTATCAGAAGTTTATATTCACACCTATAATCCTTTTTTTTATATTCTCTGTCATCTGATGAATATTACGAACCCTTTATGTTAGATAATTTTGTATATGAAAACACAAAGTCAGCTTACAACCTAAATAATTCAGACTTCCTAATATCTCAGAATAAAGCAAAAAGACACAGAGTACAAAAAGACAATGCTGTTCAGCAACACTGTAGAAACTGGAATTGTCGTATGACTTCTAAATTAGTAATCTTCTATGCATGAAAATCAAGACTTAAACATTATTTTTAAGTCAATGAACATGTGGATAAGAGTGACATAGCTGATAGATTCTACTTGAACTTCCAAAGACCTTCATAGAAATTTGCTTTAAGGACTCCTAAATAAACTGTATCTCCTACGTGGTAATAGAGGAGGACCTTTCATGCATAAATAACTAGTTAAAAAGTAGGAAATAAATGTTTGGAATAAACAACAATTTTTCAGAGTGGAAGGAGGGATCTGTACAAGACCTGCATTTTTCCATGTGTTCACAAATTATCTGAAAATGAAGGAAAGTGAGATGATGTTGCTTGCCAATAACACTAACTCATGGTAGTCAAAACAAATGCCAACTGGCAAGGCTTTCAGAAGTCATTTGCTAACATGTCAGATTTCTAAAATGGCAGATGATGTTCGCTTTTCAAAGATATAAAATAATGTCTGCCAAGAAAAAAACAATTGATCTCTGAACCAGCTATTATCACTCAGGAGACACTCCAGGTCTTGGAGTTATATAGATAATGTTATGAAAATGAAAGCTCAATTCTCAGCAGCACTCAAAAGAGCAAATTCAATATTATGAAGTATGAGGGAAAGAATAGCAAATGAACCCTGTTGTTATACTCCCCTATATATACAAGGTGTGCTCCTATCTTAAATACCTGAATGAAGATTTTGACCCTCAGATCAAAAAGACTAATATGGAAATAGAAAAGATACAGAGAAGAGCAACAGGTAAATTGAAGTTATAGAATGGCTTCCTTGTGATGAGTGAACGAATACAGAAGGATCCGCCAGCCTGTAGAAGAATTGAAGGAGCGGTGATATCACACAGCGCTGTGGCCTATTCTGTTTTAGACTTCTGTGGAGAAGGTAAATTTTACGTAAAAATTTTTTGTTGTTTCTTACAACAGAAGTAAGGATCATCAAACAAAATTGCACAGTGCTAAGATCCAACCAAACAAGTGCACTTTTTCCACAGTATGTGTTTAAATGCTGGTACTCATAGCCTCATCATGTTGTGGATAACAAGTGTTAATGGGGGCTGAATTTTGAAGATGTGACGCAGAAAGAATCTGCAAATACAGACATGGTCATGTCTTAACAGAGGTCAAGGCTGAAGAGGACATTCAAATTAAACATCTGTATAACAAGCATATGATACTGGCATTTGTACTGGTCATGGTATGAACTGCCAGCAAGGATTTGCAGAGAACTAGGATTTTAGCCATGTTGTGCTTAACCATTGGAGATAGGACTTTGATTTATAGTTTGAAAAGCAGGAAACTGGGGAGGAGTATCCTTCATCTGTGCAGAGATACTTATACTTATGAGGACAAGAATATACGCAGAAATTGACACATAAAAAGAAGAGCAAGATGTCAAAAGAACCTTTTCTCAAATCACATTTCCATTTGTCTCATTAACAATTCATGCAAAAATCATTCAAAGTCTACTTAGAAACTTAATAAATAACAAAATTTGAAACTCCACTGATTTCATTCACATTTTTATTTTTAAGACCTCTCACAGGTATGAGAATCACAAAATAGAACACATGCAGAAAAAAGCCCTACCTGTCCAAGGTAGTATCAGACCTATATCTTCCAAGTACAGCTTTCTGATCTTCCTTTTCATTTGTGCTACTGCCACAAAAAAAGGTTAGAAATGCTGCTTTGGTCACTGTTTTTATTAAACAACTCATCACCAATAAAACAATATATGTCTTGAATTAACGCATCATACAGGATTTCAGACCATCCAGGTGTCAACAGATGCAACCCTTCATCCATTGCAATCATCGACTTAACAATTATAGAGCCCTAAGTCAGATTTACAGTAGAAACATATAGAAAATAAAACTGAACAAAGAAAGCTCTTGCTAAAAACGGGATATAGTAAAAAGATACTCTCTTTTCTTTAGGAATATAATTAGAAAAGGTTTCAGATACTCTACTGTACCTGTGTAGGCTATCCTGGGATTTGTATTGATTAAGCACAGCCCTTCCATAGTTTTCATCAGCACTTCAAGCAAAACAAAGACCATGGTTAGTTAAAATTTGAATATTAAAGATAGAATATTCTTGGCAAAAGACTTCTGTCCTCAATCAGATTTCACATCTGTCTACTCCCACCACAACCACACCAGCTACAGATTTATGCATTAGACTCCAGACATTTTGGAGTAAGAATTATCTCTTTCTATGTGCAGTTCATGGACCAGATAATGAGGGCCTGGTCTAAAGGTGGTTTCCACTGTAATACAAGTCCTAGTTTTCACTACAGTAACTTTCATCTGATTCTCACTTAAGCTCCCTAAAAGAACTTGTCAAGATTTATAATCTTCATGCTTGTAAAAAGAGAGTCAGATTGCATTCTTGCAACCTAAATGTATGAAATGTGGGATTTTTCTTGTAGAGCAGAAGCCTGACATCTCATTAAATGCTCAGCGTTCAAAAGTCCCAAAGACAAACAGTCAGTGAAAGTCCAGCAGACTAAGAGTTCCAAAAGGCAATCAATATCTCATCAAGATAAGCAAATAATAGGTATTTGATGAAATTTATCTAATTCTGGTTGATACCAATCATGAAAAAGTAGACACTCCAAGAAAATGTGCATATCACACTGAACTAAATACAGAAGAAATGTATTTCATAGCTCTCTTACCTTTCCTCTTCAGGCCTCTTTTTTATCCAGCTGTTATCTTGCAAAAGGGTCCGTCGTTTATTAACATCATGAGTAGCCTGTTGTCTGCTTTTAATTGCAACAGAGGGGCTCTTACTATCTGCAAATGCACAGAAAAATGTCTTGAAAATGAAGGTATGGGATAATTTGGGAAACTTAAAGTACTACTAGAAAGGCTGAAATATGTGAAAGTTTAGCGCAGATTGAATCTTCATCTATCACTCCTGTTTAGTGCAGTCCATTTCCTTGAAAAGTTTGTGGTTTGATCCCTTCAACCTTGAAGAGACTGCAGAAGCCCAGTTTACCAAAATAAATTACCAAAACCAAAATAAAAATACATTTTTAATGTAAAGAAATAGCACAGATCTGATAAAGGAATTATGAAATATACAAGCAACAGTAATTTCAGGAAAATCAAATTAATGAATCCTATTTCCTGGGGTGTTGTCTGTGGTTTTTGTTTTTTCAGATGTGTGACAGGATGCAAATTTCAAATGAAAGCTAATCTTGAGATAATCACATGGTTCTCTACCTACAGCCAGCACAACATGTGTGGATTTTCAGGTTTCTCAAAAGGGCCAGACTCGGTTTGAAACTTTTTCCTCAGTGGCTGAATGAACAGGGTCTCTTCTAACCAGCTACTTAGTTTTACTGAACTTTTAATAAAAGCGATACCTTTAAGGTATCTTTATGTCAGATTTAACTCAAATTGGTGTATGGTTTCAAAGGTTATTGGGAGGGGCAGACAGACATGTACACCCACATGCTGTGTGAACATGGAAGCCTTATTTACTTATGAAAACAACCTAAAATATCTTTGCCCAACAAAGCTGATATTTCGTATATTAAGGAACTAACTAACTAGTTCACTTGATTTGTGAGAATATATATTCTTCACTGTATTAGAAAGCTCCTTTTGTTTCCTTTTGTGAGGGGGTTGGCCCAGAAGCAAGCAAAAATATTCAATGACTATTGTCCCGTATTCTCAGTTCTTTTTCTCCCCCCCTAAATTTCATATCATCAGCCTGTTTGAGGTGAAGGGGAATACTGTTTTGCTATTTTAACATTCCCTTTTAAAATTGAAGACTAGAAGTTGAGCCCAAATAGAAACTCCATTTTTTAATTATGATGTTTGCCTCAAACTTTACCAGACAAGAGAATATGAAAAATTAAGTACACAAAGCCTTTGTCAATAGCATCCAATTAATCAACAAATTGACTGATGAAGAATACTGAGTTTCTTAGGTTTCCCTTTAGAGACATTCATTATTTTCTCCATGAAGTCTTCACTCTCTGAACAAAAGGAATTCAACACCAGCACATTTTAGGAGACATTATTATCTGGTGTTCGGTAAGGACATTTGACCATAAAGATTGTGTATAAAAAGATCACACTTCACAGAAAATATATGCAGTCAGTATTATGTCATTTGTCAGAGCTGTATTTTGGCATTCTGCTGTGATTTATAAGAAAATGTAGCTCTTGCCTTTAATCCAAGAACCTCAGCTGTAGTGATAACATGAAAAATGACAAATAGCTACAATGAATGGAAGACCAAATTGTAATAAAGCACAAAAGCATTTATTATAAGTGACACAATGGCCAAGACTGATTTTTTAAATACATTTTTGTTATGAAAGAATAACACTGCACTGCAAAGCTAAAATTCCATCTAAAAATGTATATCTCACTGTAACCCAAACTGTCTTCTCTTATCTGTTGCAATACACTGTAGATATGTCTATACTGACAAATAAAAGAAGGCCAGTGAAGGAATTAAATGATTGGGACTCATCATTCATATTTGCATAGTTGCAAACGTTGTCTGGCTGTGTGCTGGACTTGCTCTCTCCAAGACTGAGCTGCTAAAGTGACAAACATTTAATAAGCATGGTTGTGATAGCACGGATGTGTGTTGCTGTCTCTTAGCTCTGACGCCAAGGTTTGGCTTTCTTTTTTTGAGCAGCATAGATGCAGCCCTTTGAGATCATTAAGAAATGAACAGGTGCTTCAAAGATGAGATTTGCAAGAATGTGCTGACAATCATGGTAGATTAAGAACAAAAAGTTATCTATCCTACTGCATGATTTCTGCATCAGCCTGTTCACTGCCAATTGATCTAGTTTTTCCCTTAAAAATATTTATTAAAATTTTACTTTAAAGACTTCAAAAACTGAAGACCTCTCCAAAAAAATCCCAACCTCGCCTGCATAACTACAGTGGTTCATTAAAATATTTATTAAAATAAACACTTCTTGCAAACTGAAAAGAGGAAGTACCTCCATCAGTTTAAACAATTGCATTGTTTCATAGTCACTGTCAAGAGTGGAGACAGTTGTAATTAGCCAACAAGACTATATTAATTGCATTTGCTCTAAATCTTTACTGTTTTGAATATATTGATAATACTAGCAATGACTGGGATGTAATAGGGACTTGGATGAGCATATATAGATAGAAAAAAAGCTTCGGAACATTCAATAATCAAGGATTTGAATGAAGATCCAATAGCAAAAACTATACCTTCATAAATATTTAGATATTTTTAACTTGGTACAATCACTTGCATTGAAAGAAAAAAAGTTAATTTTCGAAAGTAGGAAAAATGTGAGTTCAAGTACATGCATTCCAGAGATAAAAATTCTCTACAGCAAGGAATAGCTGATGGCAACTAAAGAGATGGAAATGATTCCAGCATTCCTTTCATACTAATAGTTTTAGCCAAACATCCTTTCAACTGTCTGCAATACATTTTAATCTGTGCTCTACTGTCAGCCATCACCTCCTCTGAATCTTGAAGAAAAACTCTTCAATGACACAAACATAATATAAACATTTCTATATATTCAAGAAGTACTCAGTATATATCCAACCATTAAAATTAACATTGCATATGCAATATTGGCTTTTTTCCAATGGCATTTTAGGAAAACTGTTATCACCTACCCAAAAATCACTTGCATTTCACAGAAATGATGGCTTTCTTAATTACTTAGTGCAAAAAAAAAGGGGGTTGGAAATCTCCTATAAGGGCAGTAGCCAAGCAATATATATTGTATTTTCTTTTCAAGAAATGGCACAAGCAATTTGCTAATGCATGAGGCCTTGGGTTTGCTGAAGTGTACTCATTTCTGGTCTAATAAATGGTCTCCTGAATTTCAATTAGAAAAATAAATATAGATCTGATAAAACAGTTTAGGTCACATGAGCGCAGGCATATGGAGCTTATCCCCTTCTTATTTTATCCATAAAAATTTTATGTCCTTAACACCGTAGAGCCAAGCTGCCCCCTGGCATGGCTGTGCCCATTTTGATGTACTTAGGCCTGGCTCATCCCAGCCAAACCAGGTCCTCATGCACCTCAACGCCCTTCAGTCTCTAAAAGTAATTTGCAGGTTCAAGGGAGGTGGAAAATTTCATTGCATTTCGAGTTTGCCTCTGGTCATTTTTCTGCACAGAAAGCAAACCCCAGCCCTCCTCAAGTTCTGTCCCTCCAGAGGAACAAACAATCCCATCTGACTATGATTAAATAGCTTTTCTCTCCCCTCCCCCCATTTTAACATTCCTCAGTTTCTCCTCATTTCCCCCTAGTGAGTGGAAGAGACAGTGCAGAGGGCAATGTCTGCCCTGGCCACCCTCCCAGCTGCCATGTTCCTGTGGGGTTTCCCTGGCAACCACAGGCCTCAGCGGAGGGGAGCGCCATCTTGTACCACACTGCCCAGCCCCACTGCCCCACCACACTGCACTGCCCGGCGCTGTGTTTCAGCCTGACTCTCTGCCAGAGCAAGCTTATGCACAACACCACTAGCGTTGTGGCTGAAGCCGGTCCTACTGTGAATCTAATAACCAGCCTGCCACCGCCAAAGAATGGGGGCACGCCCTGTGAGGGACCCGCCTGATGGGCATGGTGGTGCCTGGAACTTCTTAAGTGCCTGGAGAGCAGAAAATGAAGGAGACGCAGTATTACCGCTTTGATTGGGAGACTGTTTTCGTATGCTGAAAGCTGACATTGCGTTTGGTAGGGTGTCCTTCTGTGGCAATCTAAAAGAAAACATGCAAAAGAAAAAAAAAAGAAGAGAGGGTTGGTGGTGAGATTAGGAATAGGTTTTAGTTCGTTTGCCACTTTGATCACCTCCTCACACAAGTTTAGTCTAATAAGGTGGAATGACTTAGCACTAGCTGCAGCCCACTTTGAAATGAAGCTCAGGCACTGGGGTGGCTTTTCCTTCCCCAGTGATGACCATGTGTTGCTCCTGCCCTGTGCCTCTGCCTGTCCCATGGCCTCTCCCTCTTTGTCCTTGCTGGGACCTCCTTCCCTGAGAACACGTCAGGTGGTGGGAGCTTTCGGAGAAGACAGAGTAATGAAGAATGGGGTGAGGCAATTCGCTTAATGGGAAAGACGATATCAGCCTGGTGCTCAAAGCGGCGCCTCGAGCGCATGTGGGCTGACCCGGCCCTGCTGACGGGTCTCGCAGCTCCGGTGGCCTGCAGCTAACGTCGGGGTCCGGGACAGAGGCGCTTCTTCTGCCCTGCGGCAGTTTTCCAGTCACTGATGTCTTCCCTTATCTCAAATCAGGTTAAATAATGAGCCTCCAAGACTGCTGATTTCAGAAAAAAAATAATATTATTATTTGGGAGTCGAGCCACTCAAAAAATTTCACGGTATGCTTTGAAACTGGATTTTGAATATCAGCCTTCCTAGAGAAAGCATCAAGGACAACATAATGACATTTTAAAGACAAAAAAAATCCCCCTTGAGTAAAAAAAAAAAAGCAATCCGAAGATTGACTTAAGAATGTGGACAAAACTGACTCTTAAGCAAAAGGATTCTTTTTTGAAAAGCAGCATTTTCCAAGAAACCATTGTTAAGCTGGAAAGCTCCCAACCAGCTCTGCTGGTCAGGCTGCTAAAATTTACAGAAGCACCAGAAAACAGTTTTTCTGACAGAAGCAGTTGTTAAAAATTAGAAACATTACCAGTTATCTTTTTTTTTGCAGACGTAGAATGTATTGCTCACTCACTTAAGATAGAGTGGACTGATCAGAGCCTGTGGATGTTTCTTTACTGATGAAAGGTGAAGGTGTTGAATTTTGGCAAAAGCTTAGCAAAAATACTAAAAGTAAGGCTGACAGCGAATAATACAAAACTAGTGGATACCACAATGAATTGCACTCAGAGAAGGTTTTTGTTTTCTATATTTTTACTGCCAGATAATCACTAAAAGAGCTTATGATTACCAAGAAAAGAAAGCAGGAAGCCAAAATCTGGATATAAACAAATACAGATCTTTTTTAGAAAGTAAAGATATAAATACAAAAATAATATTGGCGTTCAAAACTCTGCATATATCTTACCCAGTTGTGAAATTCCAGATGTTTATAAGAGTTTAAGATTCTGGCAGTATGATTGGAAGTCTCTGAGCCACACTGCTTTCTTTTAACCTTAGCTGCTGGTATCAAGCATGCATTGGCATGGTGTGTGTAGAAAACATGTGATCTGATCTGGTTCCCACCCAGTAAAAATATGCTCAGGGCTATGGTAAGCCTTATTAAGTTTGCAATAGGTTATAAAATATCTTTCAAAATTACTGATTTAAGGATTTAAGCAGATATGCACCGAATTTCCTAGAAACTGTTCAGGTAGGTTATCAAGCAATCAATTTTAGATAATAACCAATCTTGCTATAAATTTTCCTGAACTGTGACAAGATGATAGAGAGAACTCCAATTTATTTATGTTTTCAGCTTAGCAACAGATAGACATCTGATACCGGTCTTTATTTCAGTCAGTCCCAGGATAATAGGAAGCTTGACATTTCAGTATATTTCACAAGCAATGAGTGTTGGCACTTCTTCATCTGGAGAAAAAGCAGTAGTTTTGTGTAGAAGGAACTTGGATTTATTTTCTAATAAAGAATTTTAAAGCCATTTCCTACGGGAAGTGACTCATAAAACTTTGAAAATGGAGCTCTCTTTTGTGGAAATTAAACCAAACGTAGTCATTCTAAGACTTTGAATATCTTGTTAAACGTACGCATTTTGTAATTTAAATATTTCTCATTAAAAATGACAGGAAGGTGCTATGTAGACTTCATGCTATACTATAGCCTTGCTTTCCATAGATTCATGATAGGAACTGAAATTTCTCATAGAACTGGCAAGAAAGTATCATACACCTTTGTTTAATAATAAACAAGAAAGCCTCCGACATTTATTCTGAAATATAGATTATCTCCAAAGTAAAAAATCCGTACATTTTGAGGCTTGCTTTTAAAATCTACAGAATAACTACAAATGCATTAATGACACTGACATCCTGAAAAGCAACTGGAAAGCAGGTTTGCAACTCCAGCTTGTACCCATGCATGACAAAAGAAATTCCAGCAAAGAACGAAAATCAGTCCAGAGCAAAAGTGTTTCTTTCATCCTCCATTTAATTGAAATGGTGTTTTATCTCTTGTCCTATATTCATTTCTTAATGTTTTTAGGGCAAAACAATATTTCTGTTGCACGTGTGTACAGCATCCAGACTAAACTACTACCTAGTCTCCAAACCTCAAAGTATTACACATAAATGAATATAAGAAACAGGCACACTCCCTTTTACAGTCAGCACTGAAAATGTGCCAGGTATTTGGAAATTTTAAACCCAGGCATTTTCGTCTTGCAGAATACTGGCATATTGTCCTCATGGTTTACTTCTTCTTCAGAACTTTTAAGTTGTATATCAAAGATTAGTCCATTAAAATTTAAAATGCAAATAAAAAAAAACCAAACACCCCTACTTTAATCTCTAGCTCAGACAACCAAGAATCCTCGTAGTACAATTTAAATTTCAAGATCTTAGAAATGAAAAGAATCTTGTGTAAAGAGACAGAATACAACTCATCAAAGCATATCTTTCTTGGTCTTCACTACTGTGAACTAAATGTGTGTATATGTGTATCTGTATATGTGAAAAGAAGAATGGACAGGAGACTATGAAGATCACATTCATTTAAAAACTTCAGCTCATAAAGATCTGGAATCATCACATTGTTCACACAGGTCAGTCAACTGTTTATCCTCAGCCCATAGTTCAGCAGAGAGAAAAAAACATTTTTTAACTTTGGAAATGAAATAGTGAGAAAGAGAAGTTATAGGCTTCTATCATGTAGTAGTAAATTATGCTTAGGCATTCCTAATAAGATCTCAACCACTGAAGCAAAACAACTCAGCTGGAATGCAAAACAAAAACAAACAGGAACGCAGCTCCAGTGTAATTTGAATTTAAAAACAGCGTCAGGAAACTTTAAAAGAAAATTAAGACTGCCCCAGCCAGTTGAATGAGAAGTTCCCCAAAAGTTTTAAGACATGCTAATTCTGGATTCAGACCCTCCCCTATTTTTTGGGAAATCCAAATACAATCCCAAAGAAATCCAGAAAAAACTTCAGACGTGACTTCAGCGCAAGTCAAATGCCCCTCCAAGCTGGTGGTAAGTTACCCAGAAAGCAGCATAGATCTCCAGTTCTATTTTTATAACAAATCGCCATATGCACACTTCTACATCTCCTTTCCATGTCCTATAGTGAATGACCAGCAGAAGACCTCAGGCCTGCCTTAAATTCTCAAAGCTAGACATTCTAGTTTTCAGCTGGGCTGAACACACCCATTCTTCTAGCACAGAGTCCCCTTACCTTCCTTCTTCTGTTCTTGGCTGTAGCTTTCTATGTAATTAGGTTTCACATAGATGTATTGCTATATTTAAAAAAATAAATAATAATACAAACATTTCCTGTAAGAATCATGTTTTCCACATCAGACTGAACTAGTTACAACCAAAAAAAGTCTTTGTTCTTTAGCTTCTAGCTATGACAGTGATTAAGACCTTATTTATAAATATTCAGATTATATGTATTTTGCTTTTAATAAACAATATTTCTTTCCACAGCTTAGAGGTACTGTATATCATCCCACTGTATAATAAGTAATTCAACATAGTAGTTGTTGAGAGAGCATCGAGGGAAGTAGACCTTCTTCTCTTAAAAGCCAACACATTTGTTTTTATACTGAAGTTTTTCATATACAGCATTGCCAAATGTGAATATCAAACTTCCTACTATTATTAATGAACTGGGTGATACTAAGAGTTGTAGATGAACAACTAGTTTAAAACAAAAAGGCTTCAAAATTTTCCCATCTTCCCACTTCTTGTGCTGCTTTGCTAAAGCAGCCTGGATTGTAGATAAGCCTCTGAGTTTGGCATGTCCATGCAAAATGCCAGCTGGAACAAACAGGTTTCTTATACATGGCTCTACACAGCCACAGCTTGCTGACTACTGTTTGCTACGCTTTCTTAAAGTTCCAGCTTTTCAAAAACATCTAATATCTGCCATTCAAAAAAGAAAATAAACAGTCTTTGTTCTTTCCTTATCCCAAATACGAAACTTTCCACCGAAATGTCATCTTGAAGGACTATTCTGCTCTGAAGTAAGCTGAACATTCAGTGTCTTGTGAGTAAACAGAGCTCAAAATTTTAGAATTATTCCAATAGAAATCTAATAAAAGCTTAGGAAATTAATTTTCCACATCATTTATGTTTTAATCCATTCGCTTGTTTTCACTATAGTCTGGAAGAAATTTTGCACAGAATAATGATTGGTGAGCGAATAAAATGAAGGCTTACTTTAGCTTTATTTTTTGATTGGCTTATTTGGTTTTTTTCCATTGGAGCTGTCAATAATAATTCTATACTACATGGATTATCTTTCATTTATGAGATGGATATGGATATGGATAATATGACATTTTGAACAAAAGCACATTTGATCCTACTTAATCACAGTTTCAAAGCACACTATAGTAATTCTTTGTCTTCATTTAACAACTTCCATGTCAGGTCAGCAAACTTTATTATTTTCTCCATCATTTCTCTTGAATATAGTGAGACGTAGATGTGTGAGCAAGCAAATGATTAAAGTCATTCTGACTTCACACAGGATAAAGATCTCCAAGCCTTAGAAATAAGGCA